TTTCGGGCGCTGCTGCATCATCGTGCCCTCTCCGATCGCCTTTTAATCCGCTCTGCCTGGGCTCGCGGGGAAGCTGCTTCGTACCAGCGCTGGCGTGCGCCTTCTCGTATTTATCCCTTTAAGTGGGAAGTGCCCCACGGCCCCCACCCGCCTGTGTGTCTGCTGGACAGGTACCGCACCTGAAGTGATCGCTCCGCCTTTCTTGCTGGGGAGAATCACGCCCTTTATTTGTAGTGGTAAATTCAGTCTCTGATAGAACACGGTCTCTGTTGCAATTGCTGTGGAGTTGCTGTTTATGCAGATTCTGGCTTCTATGGAAGCACCTGTTTGCCAGGAAAAGGACTGAGACAGTTGAGCAGCTGTCAGAAAATAATAGGCGCCTCTCACTAGCAATCTGCACAAGCGGGACAGTGTGTGCCCCGCTCACTTCAACTTGCTGGTTCAAGTCATTATCCTGCAGAAATTTTCCCAGCTGACGGCCACCATTTGGCACAGGATCGTACTTTGTTGTATGTGAGTCATTCCTCTGCTGCCAGAATGGGCTGTATCTGAGAACTTCAGAGTGTTTGTGGCCAATGTGGGATCCTTCTAGGAGTTTGTATAATTCAATAACTAGGTATTACAATTTCATTTTAGAAACACAAGATTTGTCTTTTTACCTCCTTTGGCAGGTGTATTGGAGGATTTCACTGTGACAAGTGGTGTTTTGTTCGCCATGCAAAGACATTCACAAGCCATCTAGAAGCCTTTTCTACATCAGTGCTTTATAAGCCAGGCTCCCTAAATTTGGGTACATAGGAGAAGAATCTGGAAATGATGGTGAATTGCTTCTCTTGGCTATGATTTTTTAATTTTTCTTCTTTTTAAAGAAGGATTTAATGTACGTTCATTTTTATTTGAGGACAAACTGAAATTGGTGCTTCCTGCTTGCAGGTACATTGATTTGCTAATCGTTCTGCTTTCTTCCGCATGTGTTTTCTCATTCCTGTCTTCAAGCATCACATACACTTTTTTATGTCTCTCTTTATTTCCCTTTTGTCCATTCTTTTTTCTAGTGTCCATTTTCAGTTCTTCATTTAAGCAAAACATTTCAAGTGTTTCTAAAACAGTTATTCCTGCCTCTTTACCCTAAGTTTGTGATGTTGACAATGGTCCAGGCAATGAAATCAGCAGTGGCTAACTGGTAACTAACTCTCAGTTGGTTAACAGCCCAGCAGCTGGTGATTATCAAGTTAGTACTGAGTCTTCCTTTTGAAATATACCCTTTACAGTGGAACAGAATGTGCTGTCTAGTGGCTGGAGAAATAATACAGGATGATGTGTGTAGCTCTAAAATACTGCTCTGTTCCTGGATTAATTTCTTAGTAACAGTTGAATTCCTATGAATTTTAGATTTGCCTGTTATGGGGAAAAACTGTCTTGACTCAGAGAATTTAATTTAATTTATTGCCAGTTAACATAATCTTTGAATTACTGATTTGGCTAGTGAGATACAAAGAAGACAAGCAGTTAAACGAACACTTGGGGAAAACTCCTTTCCTCTCCCTTCCCCAGGCTCAACTTCACTCCAGACACCTCCCCTCCCCTGCTTTCCTTGCCTCCCCTCTGCTGCTTGTCCCCACTGGTTACACTCTGTCCCTTGGGCGAGGCACTGGTGGTGCAGGAGGTTGGGGTTGTTGCGTGGAGGTTTCTTTCTGCTGCTCCTTCTTTCTCATGTCTTCTGTTCTCATGTGGGCCCCTCAAGGATGTCCCTGCCCTGGCGTGGGCACCTCCACAGGCCGCAGTCCCCTCAGGTGTGTCTTTGCTCTGGTGTGGAGAGCCTCCTTCCAAGAGTGCACCTCCAGCTGCGTTCCCAACAATTGTCCCCTTCCCCATGACCCACTCACCCCTGTGTCTTTTTTAGTGTGCTGTCACACACCTCCTCCTGTGCTTCCTGTTGTGCCTTCTGTGACCAGCAGCCCCTCCTCTTAAATAAGCCAGAGCAGAGGCACCATGTGCTCATCTGATGAGTTGGTAGTTTTGGCACATGGTGGGTTTGGTCTGTTATGGAGCCAGCTGGAACTGGCCATGACCAGCACAGGACTGTTGATGGCCTTGTCCCGTGCAGCCCCCTGCTACCAAAACCTGATGTTTATCCCCAGTACACCAGTGTGCCAGTCAGGTGATGCTGGGAGAAAGGTCCTGTTGTTGCCTAATTACAGGAACTTCAGTCTCCTTTCATAAACATAGAAATAAAACCAAACTTCTCTGCTGTAGCTTGCTGAATAGCAATATTGTGTTATGTCACTAGGCTGGTAACACTTTGAACAATTGTGTTTGTTATTAACTTGTCTGTCTGAGTAGCTGTGCCTGCTCCTATATAACTACTGATACCTGGGTTCAGAGGCAGCCGGTTTCTGCAATGATCGCATTCATACGTGTTTTCATAGTAGGGGGGGTTTTTTGTCTAAAACTTTCTCAAAGAGTTACTTTTCCTCTGTTTTTCAGATCTGAAGATACTAGTTCTGCTGACACAAAGGTAGCAGCTCAAGTTGCCAGGGAAGAGTCAGAGCTCTGTTCCACCAGAGTGAGTAGTCATGTTCTTCTCGGAGATCATTTCACTTTCTTGTTGTTTTGTTTGTTCCACTTGTACAATGATTTTGTTATTTCATCCCTCTTCTCTTTTGGTCTGAATTGCTACCACCTTGAGTTCTCTGTGGGACTGAGTGTGTTAGAAGACATGAAAATAGAAAAGGAAAAGTTGAGATTTCAGGTTTGAGGGAATTGAACCATTCTCTCTCAATCCTTGCAAGATGGGACCTCAGTAAAACAAGGAATAATCTAGAGTAATCATGTTTAACAGAAGGCTTTGGAACAAAAAGTTTCTTAGGCACTAAACTGCTATTGACAGCAGAGCCTGTGTGCACAGGGCTGGATGCAGCTGTGGTGAGAGTTGGCAAGAGTGACGGTGGTGGTAAATGGTTGGTGTAGTGTTGAATCGTGCTCTTCTGTAACCTAACATGCATGCTGCCATGGGCGGGTATTAAGTCCCCTTAACATCTGCCTTCTCTCATCCCAAGTACATATTGTTTCTTGCTGTACAAAATCTTTACTTGACGTTTAGCTTAAAAATGCAGAAAGTTATGTGGTTTTCCTAAACTGTTGCAGGGTGCAGAGTCCTTGGAGTGAAGAGACTATGTGCTGATACTGCTCTTAGGCAGACGGGAAATAAGCCATTATTCTTGCTCCTCAGGGCTTTCTGTCCTACACTGTGCCTTAAACATGGAAACTGTAGAAATGAACAGTGTATCCTTGAAACGTCCTCGCTCTGAGGATGATGTGGCTAATGCAGATGAAATTAAAAGACAGAAGATCTCAGAGAAGTCTAAGACAAAGAATGACTCTGGGCAGAGCGTTGAGACTGTAACAGAGCAACCTGACAAATCTCTACTTGAGGACACGAAAAATGAAATAATCCCCAATGAGGAAAGTGAGGAGCAGGAAGATGAGGAACTAGAGGACAGTGATGAAGATGGAGATCCAGAGAGCTTTGCAGACATGATGAAGCATGGACTGACAGAAAGTGATGTTGGCATAACTAAATTTGTTAGCTCTCATAAAGGATTTTCTGGAATCTTAAAAGAGAGGTAACTCTTTGTCTTGTTATATATATGTTAATTCCTAGTGATAAGCAACTGTTGTTCTCAGTTTTCCTTTTCCGAGTCACAGGATTCAACTGGATTATGTACAGCCACTTGCATGTTTCATGACTTTCTTTTCCTAGTGCTGAGACTGAAAGAAAGGTTTAATTTATGTCTTTTCTAGATTTTTTTCCCTTTTCTTTTTTTTTTCTCTTCTCTTCTTCCCTGTCATATGGAGCTCTGAAGAAGGAAGCTGTGTATGGATAGAAATACATGATTACACTGACTTTTGCTGTTTGTCTTGCCCTCTGGCAGCAGCTTACAGCATAAAACCTTATGCAGTATACCCACTGTTTGTACCACTCTTCAGTGCTGATACAAGATGCACTGGAGAATGGTATTGAAACTGCTCCTCTTTGGTGGTTCTTTGCTTTTTCCTGACTTTTTTATGCTAACATCTTTAAACACATATATTGTCAGATGGTCCATTAGGCTTTAAATTATAGTCTGATCAGTTGACATTTACAAAACATAAAAGGAATTTTATAATGTAAAATTCCACACCCTGAGTTATAAACTAATAAGACGTTTGGATTTTAGCAGCTTTTTAAAATGAAACTTCTAGGTTTTTGAAATTAAATAACATCTTTCAATAAAACAGAATGCAAACACAAAAACTCACTGAAATGAGAATCATTGTTGCCCTGACTTAGTAAAGCAGTTAAGGATGTTTTGTTTACATGCCAAGAAGTCCCTGTTCTTAAATACTGGCTTCATATCTAGATAATTTTACATAACAACGTTATATGTACATATTATGTATGTATTTAATCTTTATATGTAGCATTAAGCAGCTAGCATAATCCTTCACTGGGGAACACAGTCTGTGCTGAACCTCCTTCTGGGAAATCTGCCAGTTTTGAACTGAGGTGGCCAAAGGTAGCTGAGTGGTAGAAACGTTCATGGGCTCATGGTTTTTCTTTGATCCAAGTTTATAGCACTTATAATTAATTTAGCCCTGGCGTTTTTATGGTACTAGTCACTAGCATGTCTAGACAGCTCTGGATAATGAGAGAGGACACATAACACTCCTGAGGAAGGAATTCTACCAATACAATATATGACTGTACAGAGGTATGGCAAACGGGGGCTTGGGGGAGTTACAGTATGAAAATTCCCATGATGAAGTTTTATTCATCTTTCAACATTCATAGACTAATCATTTTTTTATTTTTCTTTTTTCTTTTCCATTTGCAAGCAGATACTACTTAAAAATAATTTAGCAATTGTGACATAGGCTGGCTGTGCACTGTTAAAGTCAGGATTTTTTTGTTATTGGACCTTGTGACTCAATCGAAAATGTCACAGTCAAATTCTTTGTTGCTGTCATGGAGTAACTGTTTATTTGAAAGATGTTCTCTGTAACTGAATGTATGTAACAGCTGAATTTGTCCCGCTTTCCTTAGCGTGACTAACACGCACTTTATTCTGCAGGTTATTTAAACTGAGAGAGGTAATGCATGTAGCAGTGCAATACAGTTTTAATTGTCAGGAATGACTGGGATTGAGCACAGGCATTACTGATCTCTGCCAGCTATTGAGAAAGTGACTCAGAATAACTGTGGCACGTGTTTGGTTATCTGCAAAGCAGTCTACTGTGTTTAGATATGCCAGACTTTCTTCTGTGTTCTTGTGGTATCCTTCTGAGAGGTGGGAATAGACACAGCTTTCTCACAGTTGGAATTTTCTTTTATGTGAATTGAATTACATGAATTCAGAATTCTTGAGTGGATTCTGCTAACAAGCGGCTTCTTGGGAAAGGACTTTAAGTGATGTGGGATTTCCAATTTTTTTAGTTACAAATTTAATGTGTGTTTCTTCCTACCAGATACTCAGACTTTGTTGTCCATGAAATAGGCAAAGATGGACGTGTGAGCCATTTAGATGACTTTTCTGTTCCAGTGGATGATGAGGTAAATTTTGAGGTAAAGATTCAGTAATGGCTATGCTCTTTAAGCCAAAATATGCAAAGGCTGAAAGCAGTTCCATGAGGGTTATTGGATATTTGTTTTTCACCCCCAAATATGTGTTAGGACCCATCAGAAGAAACATTTACAGTTTTGTCAGATGAAGACAAGCAGCGTTTAGAGGAGCTCCAGCTTCTTAAGAATAAGGAAACTAGTGTTGCCATAGAGGTAAAATTAATAAATTATATTAAATTTGGGGGGGGGGGGGGGATTGAAGTAAGTGAGTGGCAGGTATATGCATTCTAGTGCATGTAAGGTGTAAGAGCAGTTTGAACATGATGCAACAAGTAATACCGAAATGTTTCCAATTTAGGGTTCAGTTCTGTAAAGCCTTACAGATATACTCGAATTCATGCACTTGAGTTGTCATTTTGATTTTTGGTGGGACAGTACACATGAACTCAAATACACACACAGAAATACAAATAATTTCTGTGGTGCTAACATTTTCTTGCAGTATTTTAGTTTTCTGTCTAGTGGTATTTTATAGGATAATTATGAAAGAAGGATTAAATAAAACATCCATCCTGATGAAAGACTATTTTCAAGGTCAGTATTTAGTGATTTAATAGAAAAGAAGATAAATAAATATGCTCTTCTGTAACAAGAAAAATAAAAAGGTACAAAATGAAATTAAAACTTGGTATTTTTAAACATCCAAATTTTCCATATATTTGAAGAATAACTGTTGAGCTAAATTTGGGACAAAGAGATGAGTAGGATTAAATCTGTTAATTTCAAATAAGCATTCACACATTAAATAATCTTATCTAGCCATTTTTTTTTCCTTTAATATGTAGGAAAACTTTGTTTTGCCAGAGTTTTAATTATAAGGGAAAACTTTATTAAGCACAGAAGAGGGGAATAAATATTGAGAAATTTTTTTGGTGAATGTCGAGACTGGGGTTTGTAGCAGAGTTATTTATTATTTTTGCAAACTAATTTCAATGAGTAGGCCAGATTTTTAAAAGTGCACCTATTCAGTACTTTAATGTGATTTGGTAGGTTTTCTTTAAGCATGCAAAATTTAACTCAGAGAATCCCTCTCCTTTTTATTACTTTACTTGGTTTCCGTGTGATCATGCATTAACAGGTGATTGAAGACACCAAAGAAAAAAGAACAGTTATCCATCAGGCTGTGAAGTCCTTGTTTCCTGGACTGGAGACTAAAACAGAAGATCGAGATGGAAAAAAATACATTATTGCTTATCATGCTGCTGGGAAAAAAGCACTGGCAAGTGAGTTTCAGTATCACAGCAGTTGGGTAAAGTAAATGCTAAAGTTATCTCCAAAATAAAAATCGTTAGTAAGTCCTTCAAGTGGAGTGAACCTCCTGATGTAGTCTGGCTTTGCTTTTTCCTCTTTGCAACTGATGCTGTGCATCTAAAGTTATTAGGAACACAAGGAGTGTCTCAAAGTTAAATTTCCACTTGTTTTTCTTTCCAAATTATTCATCAAATACGACCATGTTAGAAGTGAGAGGATCTTTTGCTGTTTCAGTGGAAAGGGGCAAAATAGGGGCTTTATTTTCAGTAGTGTTTGAACTAAGCTTTCGTGAACTTACCTGGATGTGTAAGTATGCATTGTGGAAGTAAGAGGTTGTAGTTGAAATGTGTGCATTACACTGTGATCTTGACTGTCTTGAAAATCCATGACAAAATTCTCAAATGACTTGAATAGAGATGAGCACTTACTTGTTTTCTCAGAATTATAGTTTTATATAAAAAACAGTATATTTACCATGATCTTTAAGGCTACTTCTGCTTCCAAGGCTAATTGTATTTGCAGAAAACTGTCTTTATTCATTATAAATCATAGTTACTATTCTGGAATAATCAAAGTAATGAAGGATTTTCAAAATGAAGCATTATCCACCTTAATCTTGCCAAATACTGTTTTGGTTACTAGGGATAAATTCAATGTTCTACATCTTTTAATGTTACGACAAATTTGTTGCTACTGTAAGTTGAGAAGATTGTCTACATGCAGAATGTTGCACGTTTAACAAAAGGTGCTGAGGTTTGGTTTAAACTGATTGAATTCCCGTGTTATTTCAACCTACTACAAATGATAATATGTAAACCTGGCCCGTTCATTTTAAAGATGAAGGAGATAGAGAAAGGATAAAGAGATAAGACAATTTAAAATTGGTAATAACAATATGGGAATGTTGTACTTTTATTGGTACTGTTATAATATATTTCTGTATCTTGTTTAACCATGTTTAGAAAATTTGTGTGTTTGCATGCTTTATGCATGGAGTATGTATACTTACCAGCACAAAACTCTCCTCAGCCAGTTTTGTTCTCTGTTGGTTTGTAATAGTTTTACCTCCACCTTTTCCTTCTGCTGCTTCTATTCTTTAACCACTGTTACAGTCAAGTTATTATGTTACTCAGCTGACCAGTCTGATTTAAGAGATACTGTATAAAAGAATTTAAGTATGTGAAATAGCTGAAAGGAATTTAGTGATGTGTCTCTAGGCTTAAAACATTATCTGGAGCACCATCTTGCGATGCAGGGGAGCATCATCTATTTAAACTCAGATTCCTAAGCTGTCATGCTACCAACACCTGTGCATGTTGGTGGAGATGTGTGCAGTTTCAGTGAGTGTGTGTAAATGCTTATGAATGTAGGATTTAAGTGTCCAAGTTCATTTTAGTCAGGATTATATTTATCTTTCATGTTTGTATAGCCACTAACACGTCTTAGTGTGGGTTCCCCAGGCAAGAAACATTTCAGAAGTGTAGAATATTCAAATATTAGCTGAGATATCTGATTACTTCTGTTGATCATATGAAAGGTTACCAAACATACTTTCCTAAAATTCAAAATTAGAAACTGTTTTGCGTCTATAGTAAGTTTACACCCAAAATACTTAAAATACTGCCTTACTAAATTGTCAGTAAACTGCTGTTTCATCATTGTCCACAAATGAAGTTTGTTGCATCTCCGATTGAAGCTTTCCATATGTTCACTGTTTGCCTCTGCACGATTCCATTGCATAACTGTCTAAATTGCTGTCATCCACCACCTAACTGTTGGATACTCCCTAAAGCATAAACAATCCCATAACCATAAACCTGCATGTTCACCTCTAAAAACGCTTTGACAGTCTAAAAATTAAATGCTACTCTTTTGTGCTCTTTATGCTATGCATTGGGACAGAGGTCAGAACTGCAACAGGTAAGAGATGTTGACATTTCATGCTAACAAAATGAAATGCCAACCATTATGACCTCCTAAATAATGACAAGACTGGCCAAACTAGTAACAATTAATTCTTTAAAAAAACCTACATATAAGTAATGCTTAAAATTCCTGAAACAGCCAAGAATTGGACTTGTGCTACCTCTTTTTCCTAGTGCAGTATAGGCATTGGTAATTCAGTGCAGAAAGGTTGCCAGTAATAAGTGATGTGAATTATCAGTTTTGACAATACTGTTTGACATCTGTGGTAAATTTTCTATTGATTTCATCAAGCCAAGCTTTTGACCTTCAACCTTTTATTTCAGACACCACTATCTATACAACTTTAAAAGTAGGTATCATACATCCCAATATTAAAAAAAAAGAGCTTCCAGCCCGTGAGTTGCAGCAAAAGGTTTGGGAAAAGGGCTTGGAAATACAATTTTACTGTCAAAAATGTAACACGACTTTGAAACACAACAGCAAAGACTGCAAACTGTCCCTCTGGTCCATCTACCCAGTTCAATACTTTGAAGTGTTGGGTGAGAAATGGTTAAATAGCAGGACCGCAGCTGCAGCCTGGTAGTACTCAGCAGTGAGGTGGATGGGCACATGGTTGTGATGCCCAAAGGATGAGAAGCCCAGTGATGTGTGTGTATATATATATATATATATATATATATAT